AAACCGGCCCTAAGTTGAAAATGATAACATGAATTGAGTGATTAAGTGAATAACCTTAACTGAATCGGCTTGATTATTGAAAACCTCGATTGATGCCACCTCTTCCTTTATTAAGATTTAGTGTTCTAAAAATCCCTACTTAGGGGCATTTCAGCTACCACCTTTATGTTAACCAATCCCCCACTGCTTCAATTAGTAAATGATGCTAAATTGGCTGCCAAGGCATTAAGCTCCCCAACTACTTCAATTAGCAAGTAATCTCTAAATTATGCATGTAAAAAATTTAAGGGRAAAACTTTGCTCAACTTGCATTCAYCAATCGACTATTCTCTAACTTGGACATAATCTCTCTCATCCCATCTAAGCAATTGTGTAATGGGGAGATGAAATTAGTCTTTAGAAAGTGATTCTATCAAATAATATCGTATCGATTCTAATTCTCAAATGCATACATAATGTAAAAATAATTTTATATTTCATGTTAAAATGAACCACTGTGTTGTCTGATATGTCGCCACTTAGCTTCTCATCCTTTTAATAGGTTAAACAATAGAACACAACATATATATGGGTMAGGTTCACGGGAAAACCGTAAAAAATGAACATTGAGGAACACCCTGGTAACCGTTCATCTAGACGGTATGAACATATGCATACAAGTAATTTGTAAGCAATTTGTCCAGTATACACGTGCATAAAAACCAACAAACAGCTTCAATTACTTGTATGCTCATGTGCATTACCGTCCAGATGAATGGTTACCAAGGTGTTCCTCTGTTTTTCTTCTTTTTGTGGGTTTTCCCCCGAAGCTCCCTCCCTCTCTCTCTCTCTCTCTCTCTCTCTCTCTCTCTATATATATATATATATATATATATGTATATATATATATATCTCTGTGTGTGTGTGTGTTGGATTTTCAGCTTAATTTTGCATTAACAAAGATCAAGTCATCCTTGAAAACTCACTAGCTCTTGATGTCCAATACAAGGTTCAGGCTTGCTATGGATAACATGCACTTGAAACCACTTGAAAACTGCAAGAACGCTTTGCTTCTTTGTTTCCATGCTTTTCACAGCTCGTTTCATCTACGATCAAAGTAAAGTTTAGTTAATTGTGTGCTAATAATGGCATGGTACTTCTAAACTGCGACTTTATAGCCTCGTTAGTTTGGAAATAAAGATGGAGCACCGATGAGAAAATATCCACCAAAGGAACATATCATAAGTTTTACCTAAAACATCAAATGTGTGGACTTTTCTGCAGACAAACTCTATATAATATATATATATATATATATATATATATATATATTAATCAACTCCAAATGAGCAAGAGAAACAATAAGAGGTAGCTGACCTGGTTCAAATAATCTTCCATAAACATTACAGCATGATCATCCTGTCCAGTATTTAGTTTGAAAATGCGCAAAACTTTCTCCCTCCTCAATGACTGAGCACAATCCAGAAACCAGAGCAATTGTAATACATATATAATCTACACTACGCATGATGATTTCAGGAACCAAAACAGAACATAGATTTAACAACAGTTTCCTTTTGACACATCATATATGTCCTGTCCTGTCTAATTTGAGTACGGGCCTGTTTGTTAGCAGTTTGATGAGCTTAATGGGACTCACAGCTTATTTGGTCAGCTATATATGACTGTTCGGTAGTGGCTTAATGATATAGAAAGTGACTTATTCAGTAAGCTTTTAGGGGAGCTTTATGCAGAAAGCCAAGTGCTTTCCAAACCTGCTCCTTCCATCTATGAAAAAACCCTCTCAAACAAAAACCTTCCCAATCCACACAGACAGATTAATCCACAAAGACAGCTTTATCCATACAGGACTTAATGGAAAACCAACCAAACACCCCCTAAATTTACATAAGGTAAATTAAGAGAAGTAGACTATTTATTCACGGTATCTTTAGTAGTCCTACTCCTTAAGGCGAAATGGAAATACTCTGTGGGAATATAACACAATAAAGAGAAACTTCATTTAAAACAGTTGTCAATTTTCAATAATAAACCATCATGACTAAAACMGTATGCATGAAATTTCATAGACGATGAACTCAGCATATATTTGACAATGCATGGAGTGCTCAAATATTATTAAGAACACAACAAACCTCTAATTCTCTATCAACTTGTGTTCTATCCTTCAAACTGCTATACAATTGGGATCGTAGAATAAAGGGCTCAAYAGTAACCTGTAAAAGTAATAGTGAAGAAAATTAGGGATACAATCATGCTTACTTGTTTAGTTAGAAAAAAGAAAACAAGAACAAATAGAGGTTCCTTTAATGATCTCCTGATATCATGATATGTATACATTGCATAATGTCCAAGATGCTCACAACCCAACAGGGCAAGCTTTCTGTGTGTTGGTACTCGGCTAAATTTTGTACGGAGCATAAATAGCATATCGTTTGCAATTGTTTCGAGTTTTAAAGCTTGTTTTGGTGGCAGGTAGTTGGATCGGAGACGGTGGCCAGTGGGAATAATGCAATTAATGTATGCGGCTGAAGTTGTACGGTGACGGGGGAGAGTATTTGAGTGGTGAGATTGGAGGTCAAGTGTAGATCAGATTCTAAAAAAAMCCCTGTCGGAAGAGCAAAAGCAAAGGAAAACGACCAAAAATTGTACACTCGATGGAAAGTATGAGGAAATTAGATATATTACAGAAGTTGTACACTAAATGCATACCCATGGTACATAATAATTAGATATCGATACCTTATCGATATGAGGAAATTGTGCGCGCATCATGCGAAGAGCAACCATGGTATCGTTGAATATAAGATTATCTTCTACATCATCGACAAAATATATCTATGATCAGAAACCAATAKTAACACACAAAAACCACCCTGGAGAATCAAATTAACGACAATTTATGAGAAAGAACGGATTATTTAACCTAGTGAAAGAGATTGATCGGAGTCGTGAGATTCAGGTATGTCCTCCTCTTCGTCTCGTCGTCTTTTCAATGATTTTGACGAATTCGTACTACTTTCCATCGAGTGTACAACGGTCGTTTTCCTTTCTCTTCCGGTAGGGTTTTTTAGAATCTGACCTACACTTGACCTCCAATCTCACCACTCAAATACTCTCCTCCGTCACCGGACAACTTCAGCCGCATCTCTTAACAKCATTGTTCCGGCCGGCCACCATTTCCGACACAACTACCCGCCTTCAAAGCACTCGTTGAAAACTCGAAACAATTGCAAACACTCCGCTAATTATGCTCCGTACAAAATTTAGGTGGGTTTAGAGATAGCAGGATTTTTTATTTATTTTAGATGGCGTAAATTACGTTTTTAGTCCCTGTGGTTTGTTGGAATTTGAAATGTTAGTCCTTGTGATTTTAAAATTATGATTTTCATACCCATAGTTGACAGTTTGTTATTGTTTTCGTCTGGACTCTATTCCACTTCACTTTCTTTACGCAGTTTTGTATCTTTTTACACAAACGCTCATTTTTCTTTTTCTTTTTCTTTTTTATCAGAAAAATATGGTTTTACACAAATGCGTAAAAATGGCTAGTTTGAAGGCTGCCGTGAAAGTGTCGTTATGTTACGTAAAATAAGTTAAGGCTATGTTAACATAACTGGTTGAAACCATAAGGGTGGTGTCTGACTGGTTTGAACTTGAGCTCCAAAGGTCAAAGATGTCTGGAGGTCTCAAGTTCAAATCCAATGAGAAATAAAAATCTCATTTGTGGGCATCGAGATTCAAATGCGGTTAACACCAGGCTACTCCCAAAGCAGGTGGTTGTTCTGGGATTAGTTGGTTCACATAGACGGCTTGGATATCCAGGTTAATCAAACAAAAAAAATAACTGGTTTATAAACCAGATATTAACAAAAAGCTTATTATTAAACCAATAAATTATTTGTTAACTAAAAAGTTTAATTGTTAGGTGATAATCAAATCATAAATGATACAAACTATCTTATCATCTAATCACATTACTGGATGATTTTAAATAACTGTTGTATATAATATAAATGAAAAACAAAATTTGTCAACCTTACATAAYTTAATTAATTAATAATTATTTAAAATATTAATAATTAAATTAAATATTTTGTTAAAATTATTTTTCAAAATTTTATTAATTATGAAATAAAAGAAATGTAACTTTAATCTTTATGATACGTGCAAAAGCATTTTAATTTTTTTGTATTTACTTTTGACAACTAAATATATTGAATAATAATAACACAAAATATGTGGTTTTTTACGGTAAATTACTTTTGGAAAAGTATTCGATTGGAAATTAAGAAGATAGCACAAGGAGTCTTTGAATTGAGACTAGTGGCTCGTAGCTRCAGCTATAGGTTTGCATTTTTACCCAATATGGGAAGCAKCATYTATTGATRAATGGTTATACAATGGTGGTCCTTATAAACTAATTGTTCTGTACTTCTTACTTGGTGTAGCTTGTTACATGGGCCGCATCGTATTTCTCCCCCTCGCAGCTTATTTTTGCTCTCTTTCCTGTGGTTCGTGTTCGTGGTCTTCATTTAGTTAAATTCGGTTTTGTTTTGTTTCATTTGATCTTTGCACCTTGCAGTGGCCTTTTCTGTATTTTTTTTTTTTTTGCTTTCTTTCAAAAACCATGATTAATAATAATCCTGAATAATTAATATTAATAAATATAAATAATTTATAATTAATATTAATTGAAAATATAATAGTTAAAATTTATTAAATAATGAATGACAATGAAAAAAAGTGACAAAAGCTTATGAAGTTTATCAGTTAACTTATAGTTGTTCAGACTTTTCAATGAACTCAAAAAATAAGCATAYTTCTGATTGCTAAACGTGGCCTTAAAGACGATTATAAGGAAGCAATGTTGATTATTTTGGTCAATTTCTGAATTTCACGGTGGCGTTTGTTTCTTAAGAGGTGCTGAAGTCTAAAGTCTTATTTCACTTCTTATTTATAGAGGTGGTGTTAAAATCTAAAATCTGAATCAATAAGACTGTTTGTTTTTATAAACTGATAAACGTCTGAATTTGTTTAAATTGTTTATTTTACCCATTAAACATTATAGTGTTGATTTTATAGATAAATTTATACAATTTCACATATTTATTCATCATCATTATGAAATTTACATATAAATTATATAATTAACATTCATTTAAACAAAAAATTGTCATCAGCGGTGTCTAACATATTTAAATCCTATTAAAATACATTAATTGAGAGAGATGAGGATTGATTTGATAAGGATCGATTGAGAGAAATAATCGATTAAGATTAATCGATAGAAAAACACCGTTGTTGAGGATTTAAAGACAGCAAGAGGCAAATAAGATGTTGGTTTACTCTTATCAGATAAGAGGAAAATAAGACATAGGTGTCTCTAAAAAATTAGGAAGAAAAAAAAAACCAAAGGGCCTTTGGCCTAGCGGTATTATAGCCTTCGGCCTTCTAGGAGGTCAGGGGTTCAAGCCTCATCATAGGTGAGGAAGGTGTGTGAGTTTATTTGTTGCATTTGCCGTATATAAATATTATATACTTCAAAAAAAATTGGAAAAAAAAACAGCTTGAATCGCTATACCTCTTAACCAATCAGACATAAGAAGCCGAAAAGAGCTTTTTATGAAAAACAAACAAGACCTAAACCTTTCATTTAACAAATGTGACCTAAAATAAATACATAATAMGCAAATATTATTATCTATCAAAAAAATAAATACCAACTCTTCCTTTAATTAATTAATCAGCATTATCCGAATACCGCATCGCTATAATTCAACAATTGTTGCTAAAATCAAGTTTCCATACCCTAATCTTTCTATGTAAACCAAAAGTCCCAAATCAACCATTCTGGTTTTGTTGTATTTCTAAGATGATTTCACCTTYGCGGATGTCGAAGCAAGGTGTGAAAGAGTCCGATGTCCCACGAACAACAAGAACATCCCCACGAATCCCAACGTTTTCAACGTCGTGAAAAGATCGAGCTGTGACCACAAACAAGAAATAATTGTTGCATTAGAGCCACACTGGAACTAGTTCTGTTAGAATGCATTTGGTACGYAGACAGGACTGGACGGAATTGGCCAAGGTGAGAGTGAAATTGGCAGGTGAAAGAATTATGAAAGGTTTTAGGGYTTTAAGTTGTCATGAGTAGTTTAGTAATTTACCAATTTTRTCTTGTCCCTAATTTTTGTTCCAAATCAAAAGGAGCCGGTAAATCCCACTCAAAAATAGGGTTTGGATAGAATGATAYGTAGGCATAGGGATAGGGATGTGCAGAAAATTATCCAATCCGATTAGAMCCAACCAATCCAATTAAAACCGATCAAACATGATTGGATATCCAAATGTAATCGGATTGGCTCAAGATCCAAACTTTCAACATCTAAATTGGATCGGTTGGTTCTTGGATGACAGATCAGCGTCCAATAAAGCCGAACCGATCAAATCCAATCACTCGTCCTACTACAATCCAATTAAAAGGTTCTTAAGAAATTATGAAAGTATATGAATAATTGGTTGAAATGGGGATTTAATTTGTTTAAAATTAGATTAAAATTATTAGATGGACTCGATAGACAATCTGATTCAATGGATAACCAATAGTAATATCCTGTGGATATAACCGATCCGATCCAATCATCTACTGGATTGGATTGGAAGGCAAAATCCAACATCCAATGGATAATTGGATCTAAACAGATCCAACTAAATCTATTGGATTCAACCAATGAACACTCACGCAGACCTGAGCTCTACCGCAAAGAGCAGAGTGGTTGTTTTCCGAGAATACCCACGGCTTGTGCAGCCAAAAGTCAAATAAGGAACAMGTACCTTTAACCAGAAAAGCGCATAGAGTATGAGAACGGCTGCAATACCACCGTGGAATAGGATGGCAAATGTAGCGGGTACTGTTGATGTAGGGAAGTTCTTCATGTTCACACCAAGACGCAACAACTGTATATCGAAAAACATGCAAYCGTTGCTGAATTCCGAAGACAATAAGTTGGCAATCAACAGTTAATGGAAATTCGGATGGTACTCTGTTGTATTGTACTAAAAAAGTGTCGAAACAGATAAGTGGTTGTCTTCAACATGGTCAAAAGAAACATACTCCCTCCGTTCCAAAATAAATGTCCACCATAAAGAATAAACGGTTTTAGAAATACAATTGTTACACTTTTTAATTAACTGGATGACAATTTTACCCTTGATTAAAATCACACGGTTTTAGAAATGTATAATTATTCTATTAATGAATTTCTCCATCTCGTCAACTCTTAAATATTTGTGCATTATAATTGAGGGTAAAACTGAAAATAAAAATGTGGACACTTATTTTGGGACGAAGGGATTACACAGTAGCTATATTAATCACTTCTTTTAAGTATATAATATTGTGTACCACAAAACAGTCACCCTCACCCTTGGTGAGGATTRAATCCTTGATCTCCTAGGAGGTTGGGTCTATTAGTAACCCAGATACTGCTAGGCCAATGGACCTTTGGTAACTACATTAATTACCTCCTGTAATATATATATATATATATATATATATATGTCTGTGTGTGTATGTGTATGTGTGTGTGTGTGTATAGAGAGAAAGTGAGAACAAGAATTAAATAAGATAATAAAAAAACGGTCAAATCACATGTGATTTCACACGAAAATCACATGTAAAATCATATGTGATTCACGCAACTTTGGCCGCAACCTGAGGTTGYGAGCCACGTTGCGCGCACACCCTTGCATTGACCATTAAGAGTAAAATCATGTGACTTTGCACGTGATTTTGCCGTTTTCGTGTTCTTTCATTTTGTTATTTTTCTCGTTTGAACCTCCTCCCCCTCTCTCTACACACACACACACACATATATATATGACTTCCAAGTATCAAACGAGTCACATTTTTAATGCTAAAATTGGTTAAAGAACAATTAGTGAAGCAATATTTCACTACATTGAGCTATTGAAAAGTTAGACGGTTATAAAACCAAACTATAACGGGTCCGGTATATCCCACCAGGAGGTARGGTCTAAGGGGTACACAAAGACGTAACCTCTACCCTAAAGGGTAGAGCGGTTGTTTCCAAGAAGACCCCAGCCAGCAAGAATTGTGTGAAAGTGAAAAAAAAACATATAAGCTAAGACTTGAAAAGCTAGATATGAGCAAGCAATAGCAATACCAAAAAAGAGAAAAAGAAAGCCAGATACAAGTCAAATTTAAATTCGAAAAATAATAGGTTGATCTGTCAAAGTCAAAAGCAACGGTTCACCAGGATGCATGTGGTAATATGAATATGCATGCGAAAATTTAACAATCACATGTAATTTAAGCTGTAAGACTCTATGAACTCAAATAATTGTGTTTACCAATTTAGTAAGGGCAGATGTCAGATAAAGAACTTACCCCGAAGAAAAAGGCAAGAAGCGGAACAAAAACGAGACCCAAGAAAGCATGAGAGAGCTCTTGAKGAGGACGCTTCTCCTGAGGTCGGAAAATGTGAGATATCTCTGGATTGGGGCCATATCTTGAGTAAGGATCAACAGCTTGTGGAGGCGGGCGGGTTGCCTTTTCAGGTACATAAGGTAGATCCAATTCGATGYAACCAAGAGGTTGTAAGAAAGAGTTCTCCTAAAAGACATAAATTAAACCCAAGAAATGAGTCAATGACGACGCACATGAGATAGAATTCACTAGAAAACC